GATGGTTGATAAATTTACACATTAGTTTTGTGTGGTATGTCAAAATAATACACGAAAGTTTAGAATTTGTTGTTTCAAGACTGAAAATGACCATTCTGCCTGGAAAAAAAATGCATTTTAGAACCCCATTTTTTTCGTCGGAATTAGTACAACTGAGCTATGTCATTTCTAAGGCAGATTGACTCCTCAACAGATGTTTTATGACTTGGGAAATTTGTATGGGCAAAATTTATTGCTGTGTTTGTCAGCTCTATTGATGTAGCAATACTATTCAGGAATTCTTTTTGCTAGTGATAGTACTTATAGGACATATCGACCTTTATTCGTGATGTTATACACTGATGTTTTACTCTTACTTTTATTCATTTTTATTTTAACATCCTACGGTATAACTTATACCAAATTAATATATAATTATCAGGGACCAAAGTTCATAGATACTACTTCATGATAGGCATTACAACATTGACTAACAGACTAGTTGCTTTTCAGTATGGCATTTCTCATGATGCGAAGATTAATTTCTTATTATCATTGTTATATATGTTTTTTCCACCCCTCATGTGCTTTCTTTGTTGCAGAGTATACCACAGAAAACCCGAAGATTATAACCAAGTGTTTTCACCATTTCCATCTCGGTTGTATATATGAGTGGATGGAAAGAAGTGATAACTGCCCAGTCTGCGGCAAGGTGCGTATATTCGTTGCATCTTTTTGGCGTTGAATTTATATTTTCCACATTTTTGTTTCTCTATTTATTATAAAATAAGAGGGTGACATTTTCACGTCTGGCTGCATTAAGTATCTAATGTACAATCGGGCAGCATAGTACTGTGTTTCTATGTATTGATCATGCTTCCCAAGGAGATTTTTCCTGTAAAAAAGTCGAATCACAAAAATGGCCATCTTGTACCATGGAGAATACTCGTCTGTGTATTTGCTTATCAAATCCCTTGAGTTTCATAACTGGAGCTTTTTGTATTTAGGCTGAATATCAGATTTAGTTTTTCTAATTGTCTCTCTTGCACTTCTTTATATCCCTTTTGATGTAAACAAAGCAAAAGAGAAAGAACAATTTATTTCATTTTCATGTTCACAGCATTGAATTCTGGCCAATTTAGCAATCACATAATTCGTAATGCAATCAATTTATACAAAGTTATCTAGGATACTGGTTTTTGTATCTAACAATTTTGATTAAAAAAATTTGCTTTTGTAGGTGATGGCATTCGATGAGACGGCTTGATGTATCCCTGCTTCGGGTTGTGAATGAGACCAACCACCAACACAATAAGTAATAACCGCAGAGAAAATTACAATATGGGGTTAAGAGTGTAAATAATTATTTGCTAAAAGATACCTCTCGGTGTGATGATATTCTGCCAGTACATTATAATTTCTTTCTCTCATTGAACTGTGGTTTTGTATTATATTATTCCTGCTATTTGCAATGGAATGAGAAAGGGGAGCTCATTTGGGTTTTTAATTTGACAATATAATTGTCCTGAGATCTGCAGTGAATTGTAATATGTCTTTAACCAAGCATTAGTTGGATTATGAGCGAGCGAACATTTGATTCTGTTGGAAACAATCTAACTGAAAATAAAATAAAATAAAATGGGAGAGCTGGTTTTCTGTTCTTTAATTTGGACCAATATTAATATATTATCAATTAGAATCAAACAGATCGAAGTAGACTGAAATTAACTTGGTTTGGGGCGATTGATAGTTAAGATCCTTATGGATTGTGATCATGTTTGATCCCGTGTATGAACATTATCTATTTATGAGTTAATCTACTACCGTTTCGAG